TTAATGCTCACTTATTTCAATAAAAATTATCCGATTCTGTAGTTGGGATTAATAATTAGCCATAGGTCTTTGGATTTGGTCTATTGGATTCCACCACGAATAAATGGGAGTAAAGAAAACATTTAGTCAGGTTTCTCATATATTTTGCATCTACAGAGTGTAACGTTTGCTATAGGACTGTATTGATTTAGCCCCGAACCTCACACTAAATGAGAAAGTAGCAGAAAGGAAAGTAGACCAATTTCACTTTTTGGCAGTTATATCTCCACTGACAGATATTTCACGGATGAAGAAGTGTTGACATGCATACAGAAGGCTGATTTGGCATCTACGATCTTGAGACATCCGTGGCAATGTTGCGGCATCCGGTTCTCTGTGAAGAGTTGCATGTATGCTGCAGTAGTTCGACCAGTTTTGCTTTACGGTACAGACTTGGCGATTGCAGGAACAGGATAAAGACGGACTATCGGTGTTTGAACACCGTTGACGGGGGAACCCAGACAAGCAATACCGAGGTTAGTTGAGGTAGCCCATTGGGGCAAGTGGTCGATCTCCTTAGATTACACGGACTGGAGCATATGCTGCGCATGTTACCAAATAGGTTACCACGGTGCACGAGGTTCACCCAGGCAGGCAGTGAATGAAAAAGTGTCAAGGATGGTCAAACTAAGAACAACTTAGCACGAAAGTGCATCGCAATAGTTGTTAGAAACTGAAACTGAACTGATGGGCGAAATAATTCAAAAGCCATGGCTGCTCATATGCACTTTTAAATGAATGGTAACCATACAAACTTACACAATTTGTACAAATAGTAATTGAATCAGCGTACTAGGTGTTAAATGTTTGCAGTTAGCTGGTATCATCGACAGATCTGAATCTTTGACCCAGTCCATCTGAGATTCAGCTTCCATTTAACCAGCTAAGAGATTTGATCGTTTTATGCCTCCTTCTTTCTCAAGGTACTTGGGAACAAAGGATGCTATCTACTTCCTGTCCAGTCTAAATTATAAACACTATAATCTTGGTAGGGAGTAGGGTGTGTGGGAAGGACAAATCAGACACAAGCACCCGAAGCGATATAGCGCATGGATATCTGCAATGAATCATGTGACTGAATTTCTCGTATGTAGCCATGTGCCCAACTGTTCACTCTATTCATCATCGTCATCACCACCATCATACATTTTGATTGCATTCTAACCGGCTTCTCGCCCCACCCGGCCCCTAAATCTGGTGAAATAACACTTTTTTGAACTATCATTATAATTGTACTTTGTTTTAAATCACCGGTGTTTGCCATCTCACATTGATACATCGCATTCTCACGCACCGACGTGGATTCGCCATTTCTTCTCATCTGCATTACAGGAGAGCTTCTCAGCCGTGCCAGAAGAACGATGGGAGTATGCATTCAACTTCAGTTCAAAGTTTCACGACAAAGAAAAGACGATGGACGCGGTACGACGTCGACGTTGGCATCGTATTATGGTCCCGGGCACAGATGATGCAGGCACAGTAGTAATGCAAATCAAAGCCGAAGATAAACCAGCGGTACGTTTGTATGTGGGCCCGTATAGTCGATTGATATGCTCAAGTGTATATTTAGCCTACACATACTCTCAGTATTAGGAAACGAGTTGTTATTACTGACCTATCAATGTGGTGGTGATTTCAGTATACCCCCGGTGAAGAGGGCAAACCCCGTAGGGGTACAATCAGAAGGAATCACTCACCACGGAGCTAGAGGACGAGAAAGAGATTTGTGAATGTGTGATTGCATGCGTGCGAGTCACGATTTCTTGTGCATAAGAACTGAGATGACCGATCAATCAGTTACTATGTTTAACTCTCGTGTGATTTTTAGTATTCCATTTCCGATCACTGAATTATTCTCCGAATTTGGTATGCTTGCAAGACTGCAGAGATGCAGAGACTGCGAAGAATTCACAGCCATTCGTTCTCTTCCGCAGCCGAGTTTTCGCAGATTTGGTGAATTAAATTTGATCAGCAAGGTTATTCCGGTAAATGAATAATGCCGATAATAATACATCTTTTTAGTTCTTTTTTTTCGATATAAAAATGTACAAAAAATCTCAGGATAGGAGTGGAGTGCAATCGTTGAGGCGCTGTCTGGGAACACACCGGAGGAAAAGCTGAGTGGCTTCAGTGATGGGATTCGAACACACGTTCTCCGAGGCGATAGGTTGGTTGCCTAAACCACTGAACCACTCTTGCCAGACTCAAACCACTAGAATGATCCCCATTTGTTCGGAATGTCTAGCCATCAGTCATGTATAACAACTGTAATCTCACTGCAAGTAGTACTATTTCTTTCACAATCTAAGAACAGAAGCTAGTCTTCTGATTATACAGATAACGTCTGAAAATATTTTTAGCAGGAGTCCGGATGCGATATTGTTACTAGAATAACTCTATTATATTAACTATCTACCTCAAAAAATTACATGATAGTGATGTAAATCATAGAAAAATTGATTATTATGAAATTTCTTCCATTGACCGGACCAAATCAATCCCCCATCGATGGCAGTACGCTTCATTACCATCAGAATTGGTCAGGCAAATAGCCCTTTGGCTGCAGATGCATAAATCACTGCTCGCACCGCTGTCGTCGCGCCTGACCCGGTGATGCTTGACCGACACACAAACAGATTTCCGCTTTCCCGCCAGCTCAAATGTGATCTATAAACCGGCCTGAGCACACAACCATACAGTAAACACAGCCGACCATATAATACAAATAATTCATTTATTGCCAGACGTCTACTTGGATCAAGTCATCGAGCTGAGTTATAAAGTTGGTTTCTCATCAATTTTGGTATTCAATCCATAGTGTGCATCTGACAGCGTCCTATCTTGTGCGAACGAAGCGAATTCAGGGGTACTATGGCCTATAAGGTTTTATGCAATAGGCACCAAAAATAAGATGCAAAGAAATGCTTTCTGAGACAAACCGGATTTATCAAAAGAATGGTTTTAACTTGCAAAAAGCGTTTTTACGGTATCTTTGCAGTCAGTTTTTGGACGGGAGTGTCTGTTTTACCAATCTTCTCCATGCTGATCCTATCAAAGTTACATTGGTAAATTTCTCTGCGCACACCTTTGTCTCATTTGAGTGAGCCGAATGAAACAACTACTTACAGTGTTTTATTGTGAAATTAAACTGCCGTTCTATGCTCCCCCCCCCCGCTCCGTCTTTTCATGTTCTTTTTGTGCCCGTTCTCGTGTAGCAAGATCAGTCGCAGAAAGTGCTCAAGGTTAGTTCACAAAGAGCGGTGTTTTCCAGTTTCTCTTTAGCTTCTTTGCGCTTGCGTTTCTCAAACTAGCAGAACCGGCAT